CGGGTCTCTTCGTTGTGGGGACTGCCTAGGTTGGTTCCGCCCTGGCCGTGGGGTGGGGGGACCTTCAGCAGAGCTCCCTCTCCACCAGCGCAGCCCCTGAGTCAGACGGCGGAAGGAGTTTACATTCCCCTCAAATGCAAACCCCAGGCTCTGGGGCGATTGCTCGGGTCTCTGATTCCAACCAGCTGGGAGGGGTCATTTGAAGGGGAAACTAACTGTTCACTAAATGTTCCCGCCCCCTCCCCTCACACAGACAAAGGGATTTACTTTTTAATATAGAGGACTGTATTAAAATGGGAGTGTTCAACCCCCAGCCAGCAGGACAGATGTGACCTGTGGTGTCCTACCTCCCGTGATTCCCTTGGGTCTGGAAATTTGGCTTTGGGAGAGTGGTGGCACTGCTCCCCTGCTGTGAAATCTCCAGATCCATGGGAAGCCCCAAGCCCTCCCTCTGTTTTGGGCCCAGCACCAGGTAGGGGCAGTACCAGGCCCCATGATCCAATGTCAGCATGAAAGCATTAGGAAGTGGTGCAGAGTCCCCGGGACTCAATCGCAGCTGATGGGAGTGGTGCCTGGCCCCCAGGACTTAATCCTTGCAGCAGGGGCTGGCACCAGGTCCCCAAGACTCAATCCCAGCTCTCAGATGGTAGGGGCGGGGGGTGTTGCTGGGCACCAGGGCATGATCTGGCACTGCTCTTATGCCATTAATCTGGCCCATGGGGCCAAAAGGTTGAGAGCACTGCAGTATTAAAACATTGCACTAAGCTAAAGAGGAAAAATTCCATAATTCTGCTGAAAACAGTCTTACCTTTCTACATGAAGTTTTGCTTTGGTGAAACATTGATCTGTTCCTAAATGACTAGAGATTTTGAGGGAAATAAAGAGTTTTGGGTGATAGTTTCTATACTATTGGACTAACTAGCATGATTGGCATAAAGTTAGATGGGTCGGACCTGACAAACAATATCTTGCATGCAAAAGCCTGTCTCACTTTATTTCAACCCATGCAGTTGGTCCAATAAAAGATATCACCTAAAAAAAATCCTTGCTTGCATAATTCTTTGATTGTTACAGCCACATCATCGCTCCAACACTACCTTTTGAGATTTAGTCATTTATTTGCACTTTCTGCACTTTTTTTTACACAAGAAAAGAAAAGAGAAAATCTTTGAAAGTATTATTTGTTGGTATGTTAGGAATACAGCTCTGATCCTTTTGTGAGGAACTACACAAATGCACGTTGAATGGTAACTTTTTCAAATTGCAATGGTTTGAAATCATTGTTAGTCTAGACCATGTTTACACATCTGGCCTACATTGAGCTCCATATAGAGATAACCCACCTGTACTCTTAGCTCCAAGATGTTGCTAAGCTGCCCAAAACATACAGGAGGCTGTCCACAAAAAGCTTATGTTAGGATCGTAGTTTACTTCTGAATTATTAGTCTGTTTAAATAATAACACCAGCCCTGGTGGTGGTATGTTGATGATCACGTCTTTTAATTTTTTTTTTTTTGCATTGTTGCATAATAGGTTTAAATTTAAACACAGTAAAAGTAGAAGCAGTTGTTTTCAGATTGGAACTGAAAACTGTTAAGCCCTGGTGAACCAAGAATATATATTCTAAAAATACTTGAAACTAGAAGTCTTGTAGTTTTGAAGTTTTTTGTAACAAGCATAGCAGAGCCTTTAAATCTACCAAATGTGTTGGAAGCATGGACTGCTGCTAAGTGGCATGTCCTGTAGCAATTAAATCTGTTTTTAAAAAGACTTAGAATTTGGAACTATTGTACTTAATATGTACTCAGCCTCTGAGTAGAAAGGGGATCCATCAAGCAGCATGTTGATTTAAAGCAAGGCAGCTAAAATTAACAATTTAATTTAATTTCCAAAGTGAAACGCCTTGAATTAAATTATTAGTTTTAATATTTTTTTTCAATTTGTGCTTTAGTAGTTTTTTAAAGGAAGTTCTGTTTTCATTTAATTTGAAATAACTATTGTAAGTTGTAACATGTAAACTTGCAACTAAATAGAGCTTTTACGCATCTTCCTGCTGCTGCAGAAGATACGGTATAGTTCTATACATTTATTTAAGATTAATATAGATTGGTGTATTCTGATGAATGGTACATTATAGTGTTAGAAAATGGTGAATGATATATACTTGCTAGATAAATGTTTTGCTCATAATATGCGTCAAGCAGCCGATTAAAATAGGTGTGAGAGGTCAGGTGTGCTCACTGGATAATACATGATAGTGTTACCTGGGATCAGAGGCTAGGGATCTTCTTCCTGTGATATATTTGCATAGTGCCTGGGTCCTCTCAGAATTTAGCTTTTAATACAGTAGATGACATGCATCAATCAGGTTTAAGAAGATTTACCTCAAAGTTCCAGGTGTAGGGGTCATATATTTAAATGGTTTGACAGAATAAGTTTAAGACTTAATGTATGTCATAGTCAATTTAGATTTTAATTTAAAAAAATCTTATTGTTAATATCAAAATTAAAAAATGGATATTTTTCTGCCGTCAAGGAAATATGTCCTGTTACAACATGGTTTGGTTTAATGTTGAAATGAGAATTGTCTTTTGTTGTCTTCCAAAAGACTTAATGCTTTTTGATTAAGACCGGATACGGTTTAAAGTTGAGCATGTGTATTAGTGTTTATAGGATTATGGCATAAACTGCTGCAAACTAACAAAACTGGAGTCTAATCTTTGAAATCTTAAAGGTTGTTTTGGAACAGAAATGAATCTAAAGTTTTACAAAGAGGTTGTGGTTTCAGCAACCTGCTCCCAGCCTTTTTTCCCCCTCTCTCCTCCTCACTGGGTTAGGCATACCATGCCAGAGATTTAGTCTTTGCTTGGGAAGGAGGCATTAACTGTGTATGATGATAAATAAGCATCTCAAATTGTGAAATGAAGTATCTGTGAATTGTTTTGACACTGTGTCATGTGACACTGTTGAAAAGTATTTTGATTGCTAGGAGAACCCCTGGCGTTAAACAAGTTTAATATACCATCATCTTAAAACGATATATTTATTGTACAAATCAGAGCCAAATAAATGTCCCAGCATCTATTTAACTACAGATAGATCAGCATTTACATAGGTTGGTCAATATTCCTTTCCTCCCCTCCAAACCCTACTTCGTTCAGGGTTTCTCTGTTGATCTGGGCCCAGGAAGCTGTTGTCCTTTTTTTTGAGCCCATGCTCCCTTGTCTTCCATCTATTCCTCTAAATTTATATTATTCAACTGATTGGTCAAAAACTTGGAACCTGCAAGTATGGTAATATATTTTTTCAATTTAATTTCTATGTAATTTTTAATCGCAATTCCTTAATAAATATTTATTCAATGGGGTATAACTCTTTAGGACAGTGTAATAGAAAAGTAATGCCTATATTTATTTTCCAGAAACATACAGCCTTTGTTACTTTTCCCAATGAAAATGCAGCTGCAAAGGTTTGTATTTGCCATGTCATCAAATGTTTTAACAAAGCGCTTTTCAAAAATTATACCTGTACCGTAATAATTCATGAATCCTCCAGTAATGGGAGTCAAGGAAAAAGATGCAAAATAAATACCAAAATAGAAAAAAATACTCAGTGTGTGCGTGTATGTGTATGTGTGTATTTGCTTATAACACTATTGTATGAAAAGTTTGGATAGGGCAAACAAATTTGCATCTCCCATCACAGTCATTTGCCATGACAGACCTTCAGAAATATTGGTACATGTGGATAGTCAACACTGCCTTGAAAAATAAACAAACAGTTAAGGTAAAGTACCATGTTACTATACACCAGGTATAGTATGGACAAGGGAGCCCTGTTAGTAGTACCTATATTTTAAATACCATTTTCATAAATTGGGATTTAAATCCTCGTCTCCAGAATACATGTCTAATGTTCTAGTCATCAGGCTATGCTATAGACTAAAGTGTTCAAGGAAGTGTCATAAAATGTATCAGTTGACTTTAGGTGGCTCTATTTCTTTATTACAAAACTACAAATATAATAATGTTAGCTGTGTGCTGCAGATCAAGACTCAGTGCTCAATAAGTACGCAAGACTGTCAGTGCTGTGATATTAGAAGCCCCAGAACTGACCAGCTCCCTTCATTTTCAAGGCTTCTGATACAAGTTTTAGGGCTGCTGTTAGAAGCCTTGAAAATAACAGGAGTCAGTCATTTTCAGAACTGCTGTAAGAAGGGTTGAAAATTATGGGAAATAGCCATGAAGCTAACTAGCTCTGTTCATTTTCAAGTTTTTAGTAACAGCCTTTGCATAGTTGCTTCCCATTCTCATTATTATAGTGCACCGATACATCAGTTCATATCATATCGGCACCAATAAAAGGAAAATTTACATTGTCAGCAGTTGGCTGCTTTTTTTTTTTTTTTTGGACTGATTTTGCCAGTAATGTTGCCAATCAATGCCATGGGCATACATGCAGATGCAGTAAGCATGCAGCCAGGAATGCAGCCCGGCAATGTCTGGCCAGTAAGTCCGCGGAGAGGGAATTGGAGTGGGGGGGGCACAGATTGAGGCCCTGCAATGAGGGAGGGAGTGGCGCTGGGGCTAGGGCTGGGTTAGGCTCTGCCCAGGTGGGATGACGCACGGGACAGCTGTGAGTGGCTTGACCGGGGTGGGAGGGCTGCTCCTGTTGCTGCAGGCTGGGGCTGGGGGCAGTGTTGGGCTTATCCTGGCAGGGGTTGGGCTGGGGCTGCACTCAGGGCAGGTGGTGGTGCTGGGAGGGGGGGCTGTAGCCCACCCCATAGCCCCCCTGCCTAGTGCCACTGCTGCCCAGCCCAAGCACAGCCCTTGCCCAACCCCTGCCAGGAAGAGCCCAACCCGAGCCTGCAGCGGCAGCCCGCCTTCACCCTGTGTGCAGATCCAAGGGGTACGTGGCCCTGATGCCTCCCCTGGGGTACCTCCCCCGGCACCCCCAGATGAGCCGCTCGGGACTCTGTCCCCCACCCCGGCTAGGCAGCACCTGCCCCTGTCCCAGTTCCACTCCCTTTCTCACAGTTGGACCTTGATCTGCCCCACCATGCCTCTTCCCTCTCCCTGCGTCTTCCCCCCCACAGACTTATTGGCCAGACGCTGGTCTCCAAGCTCTCAGGCTTCACTTCTGGCCCTGTGCATGCTGTGGCTGTGGGCGTGCACATGGCGTTTATTGGCAATATTATTGGGCACATCAACCAAAAAAAGCCAATTGCTGATAATGTCAATTTTCCTTTTATCAGCGCCTATATGATATGGACCAATGTATCAGTGTACCCCTATCCTGTACTAATTGATATGCAGTGAACTGGAGTTCTGTTCATTACAAAATAAGCAGTGGACTGAAAAGATGCTATGCACTTCATCAGTTAACTGCAAAAGCTTTTTTTACATTAATCAATATTTGTTATAATTTAAGTTATTGTACATGACACAGTTAAATTATATGCATCTGGTATGTATTAAAGTGGACTGTGCTGCATATTGTATCAGCTGCTACTTTATTCCATTGCTTTGTTGACATATTCAGAGAAGAAGAACTGGTGAAACTTCATTTGCTTTTGCAGAATTAGTGAAACTGCTTTTGAAGAAGTTTTACTTGTTTAACCCTGTTGTATAATGCTTGAGGTGTTTTCTTATTTTAATTTGTGTTATTTAAAATTAATAAGGTACCAATGGATCTTTAATTTTACTGAGAGCACCACAAACTAGCTGGTTAAGAATTTGGTTTAATACCATTTTGATATCTTTTCTGAAGGAAAACCAACTACATTGCATCAGTTTTTCAAATGCAGTGTCTATTTTTAAAAGACTTATATTAGGTCTCTTTGGTATGGCAAGCTAAAAATAAACCACATAATCACTGAAGTCTTAACTTTTCACAGCCTAAGCATTTCAGAAAATAAATAACAAAGTGATCGTTGCCCTTTATTCCCCAAATTAGGTTGCATCCATATTGTCAAATATCACACTAAGATTCAGTTTGTAGCTTCATAAAGGAGAGGGTTATTATTAGCCAAAAGTCAGATTATGTGATAGTCTAGCTCTTCAGTCACTATTTCTGTCAGAAAGAGGGAAAGATACTGGATCTCAGAATATATTATGGAAGTTTTAATCTGTATATTTAATATATTTTAATATTTATTTTCTGATTAGCCTAAATTAATCTTTTTGTTTCCTTATTCTATAATCTTTTGAAGGCTTTGTCTAGATTGCATCAGTTGAAAATTTTAGGTCACACCTTAGTTGTTGAATTTGCAAAGGAACAAGATAGTGTTCATGTACTTAGCCATCCTGCACCCTCAGAGAAGAGCAAAAGGTATGTGAGTAATTTCTGTCAAAATTCAGTATTATAACTGAATTACATATACATCAGTACAGGAAATTATAAATGGCTTTCATAATATTTTGTTTTAACAATTCACAATACATCACAAAAGAAATCATGTCCATTTAAAAATAGTAATAGATTTGGTTATAGTTTTAACCATAAAGGCATGTATAGAACTATGAACTGAGGATCCAGTTCCTGTCTGAATTTTTCTCTTTAGGTTTAATTTCACCACACTGCCTGGGTCGACTACAGTCCTTCAAGAAGCTATACATGAACTGATCACCATACCATGGACTGGGCCTTAAACATCTCTTTAATTTCTCACAGCCCAAGGGCCACAATTTTCTTTGTAGTTAGGCAGTGCACACATTATGAGGGGGGGTCCTTGAGCTCTCCTCCACTGCATACCTACTTAAAGGAAAGATGGAATCTGACTCTTTAGGGAGCTGTACATTGACACAGTTACTGTTCATAGAGCTTAGCACAGAGTCATTTCAAATACCGTCAAATTACCTTTAACAATTTGTATGGAATACTAAAATGGTTAATTACCATATTCACTTAATTCTCAGACCAGAGTTTTTCCCCACTCAACAGGGGGGGAAAATACCTTGCCTTAGAATCGAGTATGGAACTATTGCAGCTGGGAGCTGTAGAGTGGCAGCATTCCCAGCTGATTCAGGTGAAGGGGGAGCCCCAGAGTTGCTCCTGACCTCCTGCCCTATGTTGCAGTGAGTAGCTGTACAGGGAACCTGACTTGGTCAGGGACAGTGGCATGCAAATTATTCCTTAAAGCGCCTGCGTCTTGCCATTGGAGGAGATGGGATGGGGGGTAGGGAGCTGGCACTGGAGGGAGGAACTTGTGTGTCACTGCCACTGTTCCTGCCCAAGTCAGGCTCCCCACACAGCTTATTCCTGAAGCACGTGACAGGAGCCACTCTGAGGTGTCCCATGTACTCGGATCACCTGGGACCAGCGAGGTTGTTGGGGGCATGGGCAGATGCTAGGGGTTACAGCATGGAGAGGGGCAGGTTGGTGGAGGGCAGTGAGTACGGGGACATTATCTTAGCTTTGAAGTTGTCTTGAATTTGGGTAAATATGCTACTCAAATTTAAACTTCACAAGTAGATTGTATTTTGCAAATTTTGCTTCTTTCTAGCACTGTTGATTTTAAATGCTATAGTTATTTTACCAAGGAAGAGCATGACTTGAATATGTCTTCCATTTAATACTTCGTTTGCAAAAATAATAAATACATGGCATGTGTACGTTTGCTAGTTTTTCCAAGAGCTCAGGGCAGATTCCATAGGTCTAAGTCAGAGTGGAATATATTTTAGAATGTAGCATGTGAAATATTTCATATGCAAGGCATTGTGTATTGTATATTTTATTGCATTCTGCCCACTTTTAATACTGCCTTATTTTTCAGTTTAGAAGAACCAGTAAAAGAAGAAAAAGAAAGGAAAGAGCCAAGCTTTCCTATAATAGAGAATGGAATTGCTCCGAGCCATGGGTTAGTACTTGCTCTTGTTCTACTGAGCAGTTTTATTCTTTCGAAACTGAAGTAACTGAATAAGGCTCCTGTTCTGCATATACCTATGGATAGTCTTAACTAAATGTCCGAGTTAAGTTTAGTGTTTACAGATTGCCTTAATATGAATATATAAAATGTTCTTTTTAGTACCCCTACTCTCTGAAAATCTATTCGTAGCGTATGACAAATTAGGCTGTAATTTGTAAAAGCTCATGCCTCTCTAAACAAATCGGTCTATAAAATGCCACCCTGCCCTGATGCATGCACAGTTTATTTCCATATCATTTGAATGAAAGTTCAAATTTGCTCATAGCCTTGTTAAATAGTTTAGGCATAAGAATTGCCATACTGAATCATAGCAAAAATCTATGTAACCCAGTATTCTGTCTTAGAAAGGATACTGGCCAGTCTCAAGATACTTAAGAGGAAGATATAAAAATGCCTATGGTTGGCAGATGGATGAGTAGTCTGTGCCCTGCTTTCAATCTAATCTTATGGAAATTGATTTAAACCCTGCATGAGGTTTAACATTCCTCCAACAACCTTTTAGTTTCATTAATCATAACTGAATAATAAAACTAAATCTTGAACATCAGAATTTCTGTGGTATTCTTTTCCTAGTTAGAAGATGGAGTAGGGTGGCACTTTAGGGTGCCTGTACACGTGCTCAGGGGTGGGGGGTGTTTTAAGTAGAGTGGTTCAAACACAGCTGCTCTAATTAAAAAGCCACAGTGTCATGTATATTAAGCCCCTGTGCATTTTAAAATGGCCATGGGATGCTTTAACTAAAACTCATTTGATGATATTTAGTGCTTCCCCCTCCCCACCCCCAGGCGCGCCCCGTGGCCATTTTTAAACCCTTAAGGGTTTATACACATGATGCTGTGGTAATGCTAGAGCATTCTAATTAGAATGCGGAGCAGACTCAGACAAGTCTAATTAGAATGCATCGGAGCACATGTATAGGCACTCTTAAAGACTAATACTTTAAAAATGGCATATAATTCCTCAGGCAACAGTCTACTTCCTTAGATGCTATAAGGCAGTGAACAGGCATTATAAATTGTATTTAAATTAATTATTTTCTTTCTAAGATAGAGGGAGAGCATACTGCTTAGAGAGGGCAAGGTGGGTTCAAGAGAGTAAAAGAGAAAAATAAAGCATTTAACTCATTCAGGGACATCTGAATGATAAAAGCTAGCGTAAATAATGTGATACTGTGGTGTTGCAGCCATTGTGAAGTTGGGTATTGGTGTGTTAAGATATGAGTATGTTCAATGGAGTATTCAAGAGTCAGTTTAATGGAGGAGTGGAAGTTTTTAAAGTTCTGGTGGGCTTTCTCTAGTTTCATTCCTGTGTATCTACATGATGAAGCTGTCATTGATGTGCCTTAGGTCCCTGGAAGATGTTAAAATAATGGCGGGATTGGATTCTGAGGAAATTTTGTCCCCTCCCCAAAATCCTGAGTCCTGGCATGCCAGGTGCATATGGCAAGACCTGCAGTGTTTTAAATGGATCATAAAATTCCTCAGATCCAAATCACACAACTTCCAGGACCAAACTGGAACATGGGGTTGACCCCAGCCTAATCCCATGGATCAGGCAAGAGGCAGCACTGTCTCAGACCCCAGGGTTAACCCTAACCCAATCCCTGTGATCTCTGTCATAGAAATGTTTCCTTAGTCTATGGCTGCAAAAAAAGCCTTGAGGTTTCCATACAGCTGTTACTTACTGAGCTATGTAGTGGAGCAGAAGGAAGATCCATGTGATGGTATAGACACCTTGGTGTGGAGATGAGGGTATGGTTGGGTAAGTTGGTGGTGTTGCCACAGGTTTCATGGTTGTTGCTAGACTATGTAACTTTTGGAAAGTTTTGCTTCCTTCATCTTTTTTAAGGAGTCTCAACAGAGATTCTTCATTCTTATCCCATTTACCCGGACTAGCTTTTACACTTACACCCTTCAGAGGGTTAACTGTTTTATTTATCCCCTTTAATCCCTTCAACTCAAATTCACTTCTCAGTGCCCCTTCCTTTTTTCTTCCTTTCTCTATCCTTTGTATTTACTGCATTTTTCAAAATACCTTTTAGTGCCCCTTCTCTATTAGCCAAATCTGTTTCTAGCATTTGAAGACATCGACTGCTGGTTATGGTACCTTGTGCCTTTCTGAACAAATTAGTTTAGAAAGGCGTAAGTTCAGAAAGAGCAGGGGGGCTGGACCCGATGATCTCACGAGGTCCCTTCCAGCGCTAAACTTCTGTGAATCTGTAGTCTTTAAGATGTAACCCTACCCTGCCTTCTGCCTGACTTGAGACACTGTTAACTACTCTATTTTCTTAGCTGAAATGCCTTGATTTTATGGAGTACTACATTCCATTTGCCATAACCTAGCTATAATAGGGATGGATTTTAAGACTGGTAGGTCAGAAGTTCTTTAATTTTACTGATAAAGTTGATTAAATGTCAAATTTTCTGTATGATAATATAATTACTGGTTTATTGATGCTAAATGTTAGTATGTTTATTTTTGCCCCAGGCTCACGTTTCCTATAAATTCTTGCCTCAAATACCTTTATCCACCACCTTCAAGTGCAATCCTAGCAAATATAGCACATGCTTTGGCAAGCGTGCCAAAATTTTATGTACAGGTGAGTGAAGAAGTGGGAAACCACCACTATTTTCTTTAGTGTGATTAATGTATATGAGGGATGCATAACTTCAGCACGGGTGAGGGTTGGGTATGGCACCAGCATATGGCTTGCATGCTGCAGGGTTAGACCCTTGTGAGATTCTCCACCCCCCACCATGTATACTGCCTCCTTCCCTCCCCCCCCTCCCTTTTTTCCTCCACTAGTGTTCCTTTAGATTTTAACTGGGTTGAGAGTGAGCTGATGACCACTGAGACTGTTCTGGTTACACCTGGAAAACTTTATTAAGATACACAAAGATGTATTTGCATGAATAAAGACACTGCCTATGTAGCCTTGAATTCAAGGGGAAAACAAGTCCACTGGCCAGGCTTCTTTCTCTGTTCCCTTGGGGACTTTGGGTAGGTAGGTCCTTCTTTTCTCTTGAGTTTTGGAGAAGTCTGAAGTTTCTTTGTGTAACCAGAGTACATATCTAATACAGTTTTTCCATATTTGGTTATACTTTGGGGCTAAGCCAGTCTTCTTCAATTTTACACCTAGCAGAG